ATTTTTTAATAGCACTTTAGGATCTTGTTTCCCTTTGAGAAAAAGAAATGTATTTGATAATTTATTATTATATTAGATAAAAAAATGTACCACCAAACCTTCTAAATTCCCCTGGGTTCCTTTCTATACACCTCTCTTGATGATCTTCAATCTATCTTTTCCAGAAAGCTCTATCTCTGTTAGGAAACTGTCTCCAACATCAATGATATAAAAAGTAAGGAAGGATCTTGGCTTTTACTCTACTTGTAAACAAAATGTCACATGCCATAGCTTCATGTATACTGATAAAAGAAAACAATGCTACTGAGTCCAATTCAAGACTTTTTTTATTTAAATGGTAAAAGCAGTATCTAATATATGAGCATTTCCCTGTGAAAATTCCCTACGCTCACATTGCAACTTAGTAATGTGCACAGACCAAGAAGACACCAGTACCTCCACGAAAAAAAGACGAGAGTAAAAGTAAAAAGACAGAGCTTTGAAAGATTGGCCCATCTAGAATGAACAGGAAGTCTACCTGCTCAGTGCTTCAAAGAGAGTCAGTATTGCTATCTTACAAGGCTGTAAATACACTGGCACTTTACTTCAAAGGCAGCTTCTTATTCATATTTCCCAAGATTTTTGTCCATGCTAATATTTTAGCCTATATTCAGCAACAAACAATTCAGCATCCTTAATTACAAATTAATGAAAAAAATGTGAGATTTGTGCAGAATTGTTTGTCAAATTCCCAAGCTCAAGATCTAAGAAATAAGGTATGCCAACGTTTGCTCCAAGCTTTGAGAACATAGTAATAGTCAAGTATGACAGGATTCTCTCTTCTATTCTTGAACATATGATAACATTGGTAGAGAGCATATGAATATTAAAAAATAAACTGGTCAAAATGACAGACCCCTAAATTACTAGTCTTCTGGATGTTTGGAAATAATTGTAACAATCAGAAAATATGGATACACACCAAAGTAAAATTCCAAGAACTGATACATGAAAATTTTGATTTGAACGCAGAAATTTAAAAACTGCATGAAGATGACTTCATGTCTTAAGAATAATTCCAGATATTTGGAGAAGGGTAGAACTTCCCAAAAGCTATAACCAAGTAAAAAAATGGTACATCTAAATGATGCTTGCCCATTGTATCTGTGTATAGCAATGGAAGGGTAATCATACACTCTAAACCAGTCACAGCCTTTGCTAGTTTAGGGAAATACATGAGAGTTAGAAGGGCATTGTAAGTATAAATCAGTAATAAATGTGGGTTTAACTCCAAACCCCTGCCATCTTGATCCACAACCTCAACTTGCAACTGGTGTGCACTTTGGTCTGGGTGTATCATGAGAATTGCTCAGTCATGGTAATCAAGGAATGCAATTGTTCTACAGAAATAAACTGTGATGAAACTGAAAGCACAGAATGAAGGATTTCCCTGAGTTTGGAAAAGTGGGTCAAATACAATGTAATATATATATATATATATATTTATTTATTTATTTATTTATATATATATATATATAAAATGAAAGGTTAGATTGAAATAATATATCTATATCATCTATCTATCATCTATCCATTTATCTATCATCTATTCATTTATCTATCATCTATCCACTTATCTATCATCTAACCATTTCTCTATCTATCTATCTATCTATCTATTTATGTATATCTGGATTGTGGGGAATTTTTTAAAACCTTGGGTGCTAATTGCTATTTTCACTCATCAAGATCTTATGCAGAAGATGGTAGCAAAATCATTCTGTTGCTAAATGTGTGGTAGACTAGAAGGCAGAAAAAATGAACAAAAGATTGATGAATCAAACCTGTGCAATAATACTAAGAAGGTGAACCACAGGAAATGATAGGGAGGGCAATTGTAAAAGCTACACTCTTGATTAAGAACACAACTAACAAAAGATGAAAGCTGCAGAACTATACAGAAGTGAGACTCACTGATGTCCATAAGTACTTTGTGAAAACATGTGCCCAGCTTAATGAAAGGGCACAAAGACTGGTAATTTAACCAATAAGGATCTTTTTCTTTTCTTCCTTTGTTATTTATTATTCTTTCATACAGTATATCCCAACCACTGTTTCCTCTCCTTTCACTCCTCCCAGGACCCCTCCTCAACTTCACTCTCCCCTAGATCCACTCCTCCTGTTTCACTTCAGAAAATAACAGGCCTCACAGGGAAAACATCTGAAAGTGGCATAACAAGGTACAATAAGACTAGGAACAAACCCTCATATCAAGGCTGGGTGAGGCAACCCAGTAGGAGGGAAAGGGTCCTGTGAGCAGACCAAAGAGTCAGAGACATCCCCACTTCCACTGTTGGGAGTCTCCCAAAACACCAAGCTACACAACCACAAGGTATATGCAGAGTTCCTAGCACAGACCCATGCAGGCTTCATGATTGCCACTTTAGTTCTCTGTGGATCCCTGTGAGACCTGCTCTAGTTGATTTTGTGGGCTGAGTTCTCCTGGTGTCCTTCCTTCCTTCCTTCCTTCCTTCCTTCCTTCCTTCCTTCCTTCCTTCTTTCTTTCTTTTCTTTTCTTTTTTCTTTTCTTTTCTTCCTCTTCCTCTTCTTCTTCTTCTCTTCCTCCTCCTCCTCCTCTTCCTCCTCCTCCTCCTCCTCCTCCTCCTCTTCTTCTTCTTCTTCTTCCTCTTCTTCTTCTTCTTCTTTTTCTTCTTCTTCTTCTTCCTCTTCTTCTTCTTCTTCCCCAGGTTGAACTCAAACTCATTATTTAACTAAGGCTAATCTTGAACTCTTAATCTTCCTGCCTCAACATCAGGGGTTCTGGGATGATAGGAGTATGTCACCACTTCCAGTGTCAGTTTGTAACAGTTGTATGTACTTGACTATAAGAATATGGTACTAAGTGCTAAATTTCAAAGCTCTTCCTCATGTTTCACAAAATGCTGAGTGAAAAATAAAAGTGCACTAATACTTAGTGAAAAACATGATTTCTTTAAATATTTCATTATGGTGCATATGTGAATTTGTGTTGTGAAAAAGCCAATGTGGTCTTAGGCATACTCCTAACAAGTAAAAATTCTTGAAGCATACTTCACAGGGATTACATACCTAGGCTCTTTCTTTGAAATGATTCTTATACTATTGGTTATATTGACATTGTCTCAAGTTTAAAAGTACATGATGTCATATTACACAATTCTGTAATAGTATCTAATATGCCATGTGTTTCCTCCCTTTTGTAGATTACAGTCTAGAACAAATCTTTTTTTTTAGGGGGGGAAATCTCACCTGTTTTTACAAACAAATCTCTAAGAAGAAGCAACACATAACAAAACAATCTGAAACAATGTCAAACAACATTTGTTTATAAGTAATCATAATTCTATAACTACAGTGGAAGCAATATTTTTTGCACTTCATGGACTCTTGGTTAGAACAAACCCATGAAAAAGGAATAGATGCACAGGAGAAAAACAAGTGCACATTTATTATTGATTCATTTTCTAGTAGGAGAGACCATTGATGAGTAGATTTCACAGGAATGGTTTTAAATTCCAGCTTATAGAAGAATGTTTTCAGCAGAACTGGAAAGGCAAGTGCAAAAGGTGTCAGAGTCTCTAGGTACAAAAGATTTGCAAAGCAAGACACTAGGCTAAATAAGCTCCTTAATAATGAAGATTTTTCTGTTACCATTCCCATCCTCCTAAGATTCTCAAGTTGTTTCAACGGTTGACTTCAAGTTCTTTGGTAGACAGGAGACCAGTGATTTTGTCATAGAAAATCTGTGTTCTTCTTTTAAATAAGTAATTTGCGAGCAGACAGCTTTCATTGTATTGTTCATTCATAGTTGTTCTTCAATAGCTCATCACATATTGGATGGTGTATTCTGGTCTCCCACATAATTAATTTTAAATAGGCTAAGAGTAATTTGTATTTTATAGTGAAAATCAGAGCACTTTTTAATATCTATTAACAATGACTTTTGAGACAATGTCATTTTCTTTCCCAGGAGAAATACGTATTAATTTTTCTGGTTTCATAAGAAAACACCCCATTAATTCTGGACTCATTAGATTCAAATCCTCCTACCCAACATGTAAATCAGACAACAGACTTTCTGTGTCTCATTAGTTAGAAGTGTAGAGTCTCCTATCCGTCTCAGTGACTGAGCCAGAATTTGCTTTTAACCATGTTTTTTAGGCAATGTCTATGTTGATTAAAGTTTTCAATGCAGTAAATTTGTTGTTCCTTTTGTAAACTGATCTACACAGTCACTTCCTCAGGTCAGTAATTTTGATTTTTAAGGGCATCGTGTTCAAGTCGTAAGGTTTGCCAGGAATCCGAATACATTTTATTTAATATTAGAAGTGAAGCCACCATTACATGGAACCTGTTACATTCTTGATACTGTGTCACCATTTCCAAAGCTATTAATTTATTTAACAGCTGCTGCACACTCTTAGTTAAGTGCCACTATCTCAAGACGGCTTCAGTAACTCCCTCATCTATTCCACACAGCTGAGGTATTCAATGCATAGTGGACATCCGGTAAATCATTCATTACCGTAAATCTCTAAAAATAAAATACAGATGGCATACTATCCTGGAATGCAGTCTGTTTTAATCAACTAGGAGAACGTGAGACAGTGTAACTGTCTGAAAAAAGACACCTAGACTCTCAGAAGAGATGCAGGGAAAAGTTCTGTTTGCAGAGAGCATTTATAATCTGTCGTCTAAAAAAGAAAACATTTTAAAAGTGGGCCTTACAAGAGAGGCAAGTGTGTCTCGGAGTTCTGTGTGAATGGGACATGCAGAGATTCTGCACAACTTTGTTGGACTAGGTGAGCGTGTAGGACTTCATCAAGGCCATCGCGGGGTGTCTGCAGGAGTTTGCGGGACCCTGATCCTTGTTTGGGAAGGCTGGCTTAGACTAAACAGACTAGGAGGAGCAACCTGGTGGTGGGTTGCCCGGCCACACCCCCGGTCGCTTTCTCCACCCATGACACCGCCTCCTGCCCTGAACCCAGAGACGGAGGGTGGGGAGCGAGCGAGAGGGGCGGGGGAGGAACACAGCCCCCCGAAGTGTGTAAGAGCAAACAGTGATAGACAGCTAGTTCCGGGTTCCCGCCGCCTGCACTCCGCAAGCTGGTGAGCCCCAGTCTTCAGCCAGGTTCCTCCCGGGAGCCGCGAGCCACCAGGGCGCGGGGTGGGTGGCCAGGGACGGGGCCCAGGCGCGCGCGCACAGTCGTGTCTCCAGCGAGCTGGGTTCGGCACCCTGAGCGGGACGGGGCCTCCAAATCTGGGCCTGAGCTGCACGCCCCCGCGGCCTTGCTGGCTTCAGGCTTGGCTAGACATCTAACCCAGAAGAACAAGGCCTGTCTGTACTCGGAAAGCAGCCACCAGCTGCTGGGGTGGACGCAGATGGAGGGCCTGTCTTGGCCAGCCACATGTAAGTTGTTTCTGAGTTGGAAGGAAAGGAAAGTTCGCGACTGAGAATTGAAGGCAGATTGCCAACTACCAGGAAAGAACATTGGTTCTGACTTTTTTGTTGATGAAGTTGTTGCCAGGCTTGGGGGAAATGCAACTTGCCCTGCAGCTGGACCTCTAAGTGGTCATCAGAGGCTGCCGGGAATGAACAGGCCCTGAGCTGTGATCCGGTTTCCCTACTTGAAGTATACATTCTTGGTAGCTTCTGGGAACAGGCTTGTAGTGTTGGAGTAAAACAAAAGAAAACAAAACAAAAGTAAGCAAACAAAACAAAACAAGAAAACATGAGTGTGGAAGCCAAGTACCGTGCAGCTTCTCTGTATGTGGGTGACCTCCACGAAGATGTCACTGAGGATGTGTTATTCAGGAAGTTCAACACAGTGGGACCAGTGTTGTCCATCCGCATCTGCAGGGACCTGGTTTCCGGGCGTTCACTGGGCTATGCCTATGTCAACTTCCTCCAGCTGGACGATGCGCAGAAGGCCCTAGACACCATGAACTTTGACTTGATCAAAGGCAAATCCATCCGTCTCATGTGGTCTCAACGGGATGCATACCTGAGGAAATCGGGAATCGGTAATGTGTTTATCAAGAATCTGGACAAATCCATTGATAACAAAACCTTGTATGAAAACTTCTCTCCGTTTGGAAAGATCCTGTCCTCCAAGGTGATGAGTGACGAAGAAGGCTCCAAGGGCTATGGCTTCGTGCACTACCAGGACCAGAGTGCTGCAGACAGGGCCATTGAGGAGATGAATGGGAAGCAGTTGAGGGACTGCGCAGTGTTTGTGGCCAGATTCAAAAGCCGTCAGGATCGTGAGGCTGAGCTCAGAAGCAAACCCAGCGAATTCACTAATGTGTACATCAAAAACTTTGGGGATGATATGGACGATGAGGGGCTCAAGGATGTTTTCAGCAAATACGGCCAAACTTTGAGCGTCAAGGTGATGAAAGATGCCAACGGGAAGTCCAAAGGCTTCGGGTTTGTAAGTTTTTATAGCCATGAGGCTGCCAGAAATGCAGTTGAAGAAATGAATGGACAGGATATAAACGGACAGACAATTTTTGTAGGCAGAGCTCAGAAGAAGGTAGAACGCCAGGCTGAATTGAAGGAAATGTTTGAACAGATGAAAAAGGAAAGAATCCGTGCACGTCATGCGGCGAAGCTCTACATTAAGAACCTGGATGAAACCATCGATGATGAAACACTGCGCAAGGAATTTTCTTGCTTTGGGTCCATTTGCCGAGTTAAGGTGATGCAGGAAGCAGGGCAGAGCAAAGGGTTTGGCTTGATCTGCTTTTTCTCTCCCGAGGCAGCTGCTAAAGCAATGGCTGAGATGAATGGCCGAGTCCTGGGCTCCAAACCCCTCAACATTGCACTGGGCCAGAAGCACTGAAGAAGAACGATCCTACCTCGCCAATCTCAGTAGCAGCTAGGAGAACAATACTGCTCTCCCCCTGAAGGGTGCTGTAAGGGTAAGCGTCAAAACTTGATGGCTGCTCAATGAATTTTGTATACAAAAACATTTCTTGTGTGTGTATGAAAAAGCAAATGTGTGTTAGAAGCTTGGTTTGTTTCGCAGGGTGCATCCTCAAATTTAAAAAAAAATGCATATATTTTTTTCTTATTTTCTAATATTCACAACTGTTTAATTGGTTACATTTTATTATATTTTAAACCAAATGAAGCAAATACGTGTATTTATTGCATATTTTAGTCATTTGTTTTAATAGCATTGCGAGCTTTAGTTTCTCCTATGAAAAGGTGCCCCAAACAAATTGAATGATAATTTATTTTTTACTAAGAGTAATTTTAACATTTTTCATGGAAGTATTTTTCTTTCCTTCTTTCTTTCTTGTTTTGGCAACTCAAAAATTTAGAAATTGCTAGACAGAAATCGGTGAAATACCAAATTTCACTTTTGAATTAACGTTTTTAGTACCAAGCAATAGTTGTAATATACATACATACATATATACATGCATACACATGTCCTGGAGGTTTGCATTTCTAATAATAGTCTACATCAAGATGGTGGTAGAGGAAATTTCTCATTTTTTGGTTACATTTTCTGTGTCTGTAATCTGAGTGTTTGTTTTCTTACTATTTAATTGTACTTATATAGTAATGATTTACTTTTTATATTTCCTCATGTTATAAACCTGTATCTCTGCAGTTGATGGACACATAATTTCATCTTGAATCCCATCACACCCTGCAGTTCATTGTGATGCATTTTTAGGTATTCATTAGATGCTTATGCTAGGAAAGTCATATCTATGCAATTCAGAAACGCCAAAGAAAGTCAATCTTTAAAAAAAATCCTGTTATATTAATCTATCCCAGAGTTCAGAAAATAAGTGCCTTATTTTATAAACTTCCTCTCTCTTTATTAGACTGTGAGGGCTCTGTTAGCTTGTGGGTTTTCCTTGGGCCTTGGTTGGTATTCTGACAAAGTGAAGTTATGTCACTTGATCTGTTTTTAGCATGTGTTTTATTTTGATGCCCATCCCATATGACTTCTCTCTTCTGTCCATCAACATTACTTAGCTCATTTTTAGACATTTTTACAAAGGAATTGTAATATTAGCTTTTCCTTTATACTACCTCAAAACCATTTGAAATAAAAGGTAAGAGTTATTTATTTGGAATTTACTCAGTACCTTAAAAATGTTATCCACTCATACCACAGGTGTGAAAAGTTCTGTTTTCACTGTTGTCTTTTGTTTTTCACTTTTCTTTCTTGATTTTTTGTTCTTTTTCTGTTTTGAATTATTTTCTCATTTCTTATTATCATTTATTACAACCTTTTACTTCATATGTTAATAGTACATATTTTCCATTGACAATATTTTATGAATGAGAAAAATCTCATTTTGTTTTTATAAATCATATATATATTTATATTCTTTGCACATTTTCTAATCTGAATGAGGAAAAATATTGAGAATAAAAAGTAATAAAAGAATAAAAGTAATAAAACTATTGCAGAAACACATTCTGCAAAAATTCACTGTTTATTGTCCCTAACATTTTATGTACATAATAAAAGATTTTGAAAAGGTAACATGAACAATTTTGTTTGAATTTACTCTTTTTGATTTGATGTTGTGGGATGATAAAATTCAACATACTCAAAAAGTTATTTACATATTATTTTGGTGGTTTTAACTTTAGCCAATGAGATTGCCATGTGTCTAAATTCTTGATAAGTATATATGGTGCTGCACTGGTTTTCCTCTTGGTTTTGTCTTCTGCCAAAATATCTTGATGAGAAACATTCTTCCCCACTATTACTGAAATTCTTCCCAATTCTTTTCTAAAACAAACTCTAATTAATGATTTAAAATCAATTTAAATGTTATTTTGATCCATTTTCCAAATTCCTTACATAAATTTCATAACAATTACATTTTATTGTAACTATAGGTAAATGCATGTTTCTATATTATCCAAGGACCTAAGTATTTTGCCAGCCTCTGGCAGGCTCAATATGGTATATGAAAAATACACACTATTCTTTATTTTATTATTTCAGTAGCTTCTTTTTTATTGCCAAAGTTCCACCTTGTGTCTTGTATTTATTATCATTAATATTTTCATACTTGTAAATTAATGTTTCAAATACCTGAGATATTTTTCTCCTGAATAATTTGTATTTACATGGTTTTCTTATACATCAAAGATATTATAAAGTTACCTGTTTAATGTTTTCACTTTGTTTATAGTTTTAAAAACTATTCCAATGTGAAATTTTAAACAAACTTTCAGCATCTCATTTAGATGACTTTTTTCTTGCGATTTATTTTGAACACCTTAAAATGTTATATATATATATATATATATATATATATATATATATATATATATATATATATATGTATTTGAAATTTAAACAGGGAGCCTGGTAGACACAATCTGTGTTGTCTTCTATTAGCATATATGGTTCATATTATCAATAACTTCTTTATAAACAAAACTTTATATTTTGTATAAAGAGTGGACTTTAGCAATGTCTTCCTTTTAGGTCTTTAAACAGCATTCACTGTTAGACTGTATCAGTGAATATTAGTGCATATGCCTTCTCAGATCCATTGGCTTGCAGAATCACTACATTGATAAGTATTTTTATGTCAGAAGCAGAGTTGGTAAGGTCCCAGGACTAGACAGGATATAAGTGTGTCAGGTCATGATGAAGCTTCTGGATTACTTAATCTGTGAAAGTATTCAAATATTTGAACAATAATTGATAGACCTAATATGTAGCTTACTTCCTTCTTATGTGCACAAGTACTTGGTAAGCACTTTATCAAGTTTGCAGATGTATTCTTGTCTCAGCTAAATAATGCAGCATCTTAATGCCTTAGTAGAAATTGCTCATTTCCAGTATTTACCATAAAATTTGTCAGTGCATTCCCTTCATTATTTAAATTTTAATCATTCTAAATATGTGTGTGTTTTCCTTCGATAGCATTACATCATCCTACTTAGCAATGGGAGTTCATTTTTTTAAGGATAATTAAAAAATGTACCTAAGTGCCTTGAAGAAGAAAGAGATAAATAGAAGCGAACTCAGATAGAGATGCCTTCAGTCAGTCTCTCCACTCTTCTACATACATTGCCAAATCTCTTGTGTGGATGACTGCTCTTTTACAGATGATGTAGCACATATGTACCTTGCTCCAGTTTTCGAATTTGTTAAATAGAAATTGTTAAAATATATTTTAATACCCTCAATATTCTTCGAAACCTGAGAAGATGCTAAATAAAATCTAGCATGTCAATGATGAATATGTCTGAAATTATTTTTATTCACGTTAATTTTCCGTTTCTTAGTGTAGGTATTTATGTTTTGTGTTTCTAAAGGTTCATAAGTATGTGACTTGAAATTTGTCTCTGAAGTTATTCACAATTAAAAGATCAGGAATTCAAAAGCAGTTTTAATGTGGAGCAAGTTTTCATGAGAAATAATTGGCCATTACATTAGTTCAGAAAATGACATAAACACAGTACTCTGTGTATGAAATTGTCAAAGTATAATAATAAAAAATGTCAAAAATACATGTTACTTTATAAATCAGAGTTTGACAGGCCACATTTAGTGATGACTCTCTTACTGACAGAGGTCAAAAGTAGTCTACTATTACAAGATGAGAGGGAAAATAAATATGTCCCCCCTCGGTTCCTTCCCTTCCTCTCCTTTGAATTCATTAGCCTCCAACCTTCAGCAATGGGGGTTTCACTTGAGGGAGCTTGTCTACTTTTTATCACCACCTACAGACATGGCTTTGGACCAGAAAGGTGAGATCAGAGTTTTGTTCTTAATGCCTTTGGAGAATAATTTCAGCACATGAGTGTCCAAGGAAACCCTGAAAGCCATATCTCAACTATAACAATTAAAAATATGAAGTCTATGCTACACAACTGTCTCTCTATCTGCTTAAGGGGCCCTAGCAGTAGGAACAGAATCCATCCTTGGTGCATGAGCTGGCCTTTTGGAGCCAACTTCTATGATGGGACACCGTGCACAGCCTTGAGGCACAGGGAGGGTCTTGGACAAGCCTCTACTAAATGTACCTCTCCATGGGAGGACTTACCTTCTCACAGGAGGGAATGGGTGTTGGGTTGAGAGGGGGAGGCTGGAAGGGGTAGGAGGAGGGAAGAGGGGGATCTTTGGTGTGTAAAATGAATAAAAGTTTCCTTAATAAAAAAATAATACAACCAAAAATAAATAAAAATAAAAACATGAAGTCCATGCAAAATGTTAGGTGTTTAGTGTAGCATGAATCTTAAAAGTTCTTATTAATAAAATCAAACCTGAGGCCAGTTATTGGGGTGAACACTAGAAGATCAGAGAGCCAGAACAAGCCATAGCTACCTCACCTCGCCAGATCCTCAGCTGGTCTTGCTTCCTCAGACTGGAGGCCTCTGAGTCCTTATCCAGAATGGGTCTCAGCTGAATTGCTGCTCAAAAGCCTGAATGCTTAACCAGGCCAAATGCTTAACCAGCCAAATGCTTCTAGTTTCTGGTCCTCACACCTTATATACCTTTCTGCTTTCTACCATCACTCCCTGGGATTAAAGGCTTGCTCTCTGGGATTAAAGGCATGAGTCACCATGCTTGGCTGTATCCTTGAACACATGGATTTCTGCCTCTGGAATGCTAGGATTAAAGGCGAGTGCTACCACTGCCTATCCTTTATGTTTAATATTGTGGCTGTTCGGTCTCTGACCCCAGATAAGATTATTAGGGTGCACAATATTTCGGGGAACACAATACCACCTCAGTTTAGGATTAAATTTTATGTTTTTCATTTTGGAATATGGCTCATAATATGATTTAACAAAACATAAAATGATTATATTTTTGACTCTTATGACTATAAAAGTTTTCTAAAAATGCTCAGAGTTAAGGATCCTCAGCCATCTTGGGTCAGGAATTTTGCATCTCTTTTCTGAATTCTCCTGGCTCTTCCCCTTTCAATGCCTTCTTGGTTCATCAATAGTCAGGTGTTTGATGGTTATGGTCGACACACAGACGCAGCCATAATCATGAGGTAAAGCTACTTTCAAGAAACCTTCCCTCTCAGTTCTCAGTTTTTGTTCAGAGATTCACAAAGTTCTACCAGTGTCATTGTAGAAGATATCAGTTTCCACATGTTCTGTGGAATGTTGTTTTGATAGGAAGAAACAGGATCAAAATGGATAAAGAGCAGACCAAACAGTAACCTAGGATGCTTTCCATTATCTATATGGAAATTAGAATTTTCTTATCTTTTAAAACTACTTATAGATAGTTCTTTTAGTCATTTTATTATTGGCTTTTTTGTTGTTTTTGTTTTTACAAATAGCATGCAACACTAACGCTAATGATTTCCTCATACTTAATTTTGCATAATTATTGCAGGAACTAAATTATGCATATTTGTATCAGTAGTAAGTAAAGGTAAATTGGTTTTTATTCAGTAAAAGGATTCATGTTGTCATATGACAGAATGCCTAGTAGATCTAAGTTGTGAACATACTGAAAATTACAACTGAAATGATTCAATTCATTTTAGTCACCTGCATTGCCAACATAAATAATTATCAAAGGATTAGAAATGGCCAGGACTGACTGCATACAAATCCCACTTAGCTGTTGCTTAGTTGAATATTTTGTTCAGAGCAGCCTCAGTCTAGCAGATATGCACACTCAACTAATACCTTACAATTGAACAACCAGCAGAAAGGAATCTGTAATGTACTCTGTAAATCAATCATTGTTATACACTCCTTAATAAATTTAAAAAGAGCAGTTCCTACTGGCAAACATTAAGAAAATTCTAGAAACTTGCTCCTGTACAAAATGGATAAAGCTCTATGTTCACTAAATCCAGAATAACAAATACACTTGGCTTGAAGTTGTTAAGGTCGATTATGTTTCAAGTTTTCTAAGCATTCATAAATGCTTTCGCTCTTCATTAGTTTTGCTTCCTGGTCATATAGCCTAGTTTAGGATTAATAGATTGACTATTCACCAAGAGAAGAAAAATTATTTTTAGTATCATTCTTTGGTACAGAGAGAGAAACTTAGCTTCTGAAGGAGATTGTGAGCTTCAAACAGCTGTTACAACAGACTTCGTTTACCTCATTTGGCCATGAAGAAACTCCCAATCTGAAGTGCAGTCATGTTCCAACAGTACATTTTTTGAGTTCCAAATACAATGTCACCAAAATCTTATTTTTTGAAGTTTTTGCCTTCAGGAAAGATTAGTTATGTCTCACTTGTGTTTGTTTTTCAAATCACTATTGCCACTGGGATTGCCATGTCATGAGCCCTCTCAGTTGGCAGCCTGCGGTTCATCACAATTTGCACCGTTTTATCTAGGAATGCGTGTCAAAGGCACACTAATATATGGTAATTTCTGAGTTATAACCACACTTAATTCCTTTTCAGTAAACAAAGAGTTTATAATAATATTTCCAACTTACCTTATTCAAGGAAATGACTCAACTTTTTTGTAAGTTAAGCTTTGAAATTCCATGTACACATTTATAACTTAACAATTTTACTGCATTACTGTG